AGGGGAACCTTTTGGTGGCAGCGAACCACATCTAGCTTTCGCAGGGGGGGGGGAATATGATAATTACCATGAGGTAATTATGCAGGATATGAGTCCAAGGATCTCTTTTGGGGGGGATTTTTTGGGGGTGGTCATGGTGAAAGTACTTTATTTTTTAACCAAGTTGAGCCCAGGGTATCCATTTTTTATAATTTCTATCTCAGAATAAGGGAGATTCATGCCAAAGTTTCCATTGTGGTTAGAAAAGATTTTCATGTTTATAAGAAAGTAGAGAAAGCATGCAGAGCAAGGCTTTTGCAAGGCTTCCCAATTTTCACCAGCAGTTGTTATAAGAGGCATTTATGTCAGAACATGTGTATATAGAGTGTCTCTGCGTAAATTTGGGCAGGTAGATATGTGTTTGCTCTGTGTATGTGCTTCTGCTGTACTCTCACATTGCATCAGTGTGCTTTTGTCTGTATGTTTCTACTGAGAAGTACAGGGTGGACTTTATAGCCAGTTTGCTCTAGTGCAGGAGTCCCCAATCCCTGGTCCATATACCAGCATCAGTCTGCGACATGTCAGCAACCAGTTGCACAAACAAGTGAAGCCTCTTTGCTGGATGCAGGCAGCATGCAAAACCACACCCCCTCCAGTCAGCAGAAAAACTTTTCTCCATGGAACCAGTCCCAGGTGCCCAAAAGGTTGGAGGCTGCTGGTCTAGTGGTTAAGGCACCAGGCTAGAAACAAAAGACCACAAGTTCTAATTCTGCCCTAGCTATGAAAGTTATTTTGGGCCCTCATCCTCTCTTAGCCCGACTCATCTAATAGAGTGGTTGTTGTGGGGAAAATTAGAGGAGGAAGATGTGTTGAATATGTTCACCACCTTGAGTTATTTGTAAAAATAATAAAGGTGGGATACAAATAAATAAATATAGTTGTAAGGGATTACATGTCTGGGAAGAAGAGAAAAGGGAAGCTTAGAATGGCACAGTCAGCAACATTCTCAGTTGCTGCCAACAGAAAGTTGGAACAGACAGATGTACAAGGGCTCAGAATTCACTCTATTTGCAGGACAACTTGAAGATTCTAAGTGTCCTTAAGGCCTCAAGTAGTCCGACCTATTATCGAAATACATATAAAAACTATTATTATTACTAAGATATAAATGCTATACTTTTTATCACAGTCAGAAATGTGATCCAACAAATCTATTTTTTATGAATTCCCAGATTATTCCCCCCTTTAAGCATTCTGTTTTAACTCTTTACAGTTCCTTAGTTTAAACCAGACTAGACAATCAGCCAAGTGGATGCTTCACACACTTAGATAATCATCACTAAAAAACAGATCATATGGCCATTTTCAACCTGCCAACCTTCCAACCTACAAAACTAGATCATATGGCCATTTCTAACCTCCTTCTCTGCTTATTATCTGTATATTCAGATAGTGAAGGAACATTCTGGTATATTTATAAGGGGATTCTAATATTGTATAACATTTATAATACATCTGTAACAAGGTTGAATACAAAATAAATGTACCTAAAATGTACATTTGGTACACACATCTCATTGTTCCTCTCATCACTCTTCCATTTAAAATGTTACCCTCCAAAGAATAGTCTGAAATAATTGGAAGGCAGGTCCTTGACTGTCAAACTGACATACTGAACTTGCACTTCAGGATTTAATTAAAAAACAGCATAATCTAGTCTGCTTTCTCTTTCTTGGACTTTCATATTTGGGCTGGAAAAATCTGAAATCTTTTTTTCTTTCTTTCCTTTTTTGCTGCTATCTGATAGTCATCCAGATTTCCATTCTCCTTCCCTCCCCCTTTTTTTTTTTTTTTTTGCTGTTTTTAATCAGACGTACAGAAAACATCTCAGGTTTTAAGGACAGAATTAAAATCTAAGCCTTCTGAGTAATACTTGTCAATCTTTCCATTATATCAATAGGGAGCCGATCTGTAATCAGAGAATGAACACATATTGCCAGTGTGAGATGGAACATCTGGGGTAGCACTGTCTTTGCATCAAAACTACCCATTATGGCCAATAAAAACCATGTTTTTCATACATTGATAAATTCCAAATACTTGACATATAATTTGATATCTCATTGTATTTTATTTTCTGCTTATATATCACAAAAATTACAAAAGAACATGAACACCCTTGAATTCTGTATCTCTTTCCAACACATGTTTACAGATTAAGGAATCTTGAACCAAAACGGGAATAATAGGACAAGTTCATATCTGAAGATGGAGCAAAACGGTTATTGTAGTCAGGTTATTATTGATCTAGCTATAGCTTGTTACTATTTCTAACCTTTGCATGGAAGTAGAATCATCAGGAGGGTACCCATTGTCTTTAGAACAGTAGCCAAATAGAATGTATGCATCCATCATGGCTATTTGGGTTTTTTTTAAATGTGCTAGAATCTAGCAAAGTATTGCCAATGTGTATATATGTGTGTCTCTGTTCTCCTTTTGGTTTCCTTTCTAGGTGTGGTTGTAAGGGAAAGATCCTTTTTTCTCTCTCCTTTTATCTCTTTTCTCCAGGAAAGCAGATAAGACTGAATTGTTTTGTATCACTTTTTATCCTTAAATCTGTTGCTGGAGAAAAGATACCAAGAAAATGTGGCTTTATGACTATGTAGTAGAAGCATTTAAAGCTTCATCTGCATTGGTCTTATGTACTTCGTTTTTTATTTTAACTGAAATATTCTAAACTTCCAAAAATGTGTTTAGTATATAGAAGTCTGTAAGTACAGAAACACAAAAACATTAAAAAAATAAATAAATCTGTATGCATCCTGTCTTCTTTGGTAACATAATGTAATATATAGATACTCTAAGTACATCTGTGATATCAAATACAACAAACTTGAAAAGCATCCTTTACTGTATTACTCATGATAAGAGATAAAATATCTTTTATGATTCTTAACCAATGAATTGGTAATATGGTGTCTGCTGCACTCTCATATGCTTGTATCAACAAATTGCAGATGATCCAGTGCACGCACTGTATATTTCTACTTGCTTTCTAATCAGCCTATATTCTCCAGAATTATTACTTTTCTCTAGTTATTTTATTTTTTTCTTATTCTTATCCTACATGTTTATTGCTATCCTTCTTGAACCCTGTCTTTCTATTTCTAATCCTTTGTTCTTGGTTACCTAATCTTATTTTATTAAGCCTATTTGTTCAATCCATATATACCCATATCCTTGTATTGATAGTCCTTACAACCATTCGTTTAGTGACCATTCGAAGTTACAACAAAACTGAAAAGAGTGACTTAGGACCAGTTTTCACCCTTACAACCTTTGCAGCATCCCCAGGGCACATGATCAAAATTTGGGCGCTTAGTAACTGGCATGTATTTATGACAGTTGTCCTGCCTTAGGGTTATGTAATCGCCATTTGTAACTTTCCCAGCCAGCTTCTGAGAAGCAAAGTCAATGGGGAAAGCCAGAATTGCTTAACAACCGCATGATTCATTTAACAGTTGCAGTGATTCACCTAAAATTGTGGCAATAAAGGTCATAAAATGGGGCAAAACTCTCTTAACAACTGCCTTGCTTAGCAATGGAAATTGTGGGCTCAGTTATGGTTGTGTGTCAAGGACTACCTGTATTATATATTTCATTCTTTTCCTATACACTTACTGTATATCTGTGGCATATGTGGATGTGATGGAAATGATTTGTTTCCCTCCCTACCCAAGTCTCAGAGGCTTTCAGCAACCTTATCTATCTTTGGTTCCTTCTTTTTTGACCTTTTCTTTTTCTGCAGAGTCACTTACCATCACCGGCATTGCAAAGTTGTTGCTGTTGCATGACTTGTGTTTCTAGCTGTTACTGGGATTGTTCTACTGTTGTATTTATTTCCTACTTATGGGTGAAGGATATCAGTTTCTGGGCTGGTTCTGTCCCTTTTACTTCCTGTAGTTTATGTACTGCCCTGACTTTTGTTGGATTGGTATAGCTGACTTTATTGGCTTAGCTAGGCTGTCTCTGCTGGCTTGATCAGATTGGCTTCTTCGCTGTGGCTGTCGTTGAGAGAAGGAAGGAGGTGTTGCTAGTATTTCCCTGGGCTTTTTCACCTCTTCCCCATTCAGCCACTGTGTTTCATTTAGTGTCAAAGCAAGAACATCTGTCGGAACCATGACATTTAGCCTTTCTGTCCCTTCTGCCTCCACACTGCTCCTACAACCTCCTCGAGCCATTGTCAAATCTGATTTTTCTACTAGTTCATATCTTCTCTTCTTCTCCTTTACTTTACTATGCTGAATTCCACTGTACACTTTTATGGATGGCTGTGCCTCCTACTACACTCCACATGGCAAGATGAGATAGCTTTAAAGGAGATGACATTGTTTCCCCATTGTTCCATATTTCCTCTTAGGTATCTCCCCCTTTGTATGGTCAAGGTATACACTCAGATAACTCATGGTGATGCTTCTTCTATCTTTTTACCACTGTGACAATAAAAGTCAGCTAGAAAGTTTTTTCCCCACTTGATGTTCCATACTAAATTTAAATAACTGTAAGGTTAAATACTATATGGGGATCCTGAAATTAGTATCATTCTGGAGCCACGTGAATGATTTGTCTGCTATCAATCCTAGTAAATATACTGGTTCTGGAAAACATATCCTCTACATCAGGGGTGTCCAACTTGCAACATCACATGATGTGTCACGACATATCATGACTTTTTCTTCATTGCCAGCAATGGGGTGGGCACGGTTTCAGCATGATTCATCCGGCCCGCGGGCTGGCAGTTGGACAACCCTGCTCTACATTCATGTTATGAAGTTTGGTAAAACCTTAGAACAATCTAAAGGTACAGGTGACTGTGATCATTCTATCCTTGTCTATCCTTGATCATTCCAATAACGATCAAATTAAAACATGTTTAACTTTATATGCAACAGTTACCTATAGATCACAATATTTGATTATATTCAATGATTAGTAATAGATTGTGTTTTTGTTTGTAACAGGTAAATCTAGATTTATTAAGGAATACCATACCAGTTTAGCCTCCTCATCTAGCAGGCAAAGAGGATTGAGGGATTCATATCTAAAACACCAATCTTGGTGAGTAATTTATCATATTTCAGTGGAATGCTGTGAGATATATTTGAATTCCAGATGAGCACTTCATGAGATTACATCATTTTCAATCAAATAGTCTGGATTCAATTTAAAGGAAGAGGTTTGTTTTATTATTATTATTCTTCACATTCTAGTGAAGAAAGCAACCTTAAATTTCTCATGTTGGTACTGGAAAAATGAAGCTTGAAAGATTAATTTAAAGCAACATATATACAGAAATATCATGAAATGATTTCCATTCTTTAAGTCAATGAAAAAAGTTAATACAAATAAAATGACCTGGCAGAAAATCCATTATTATGTTGGGAAGTCTCTTTTAATAATTGTATACTTCTTGCCTTTCTTGTTTTCTACATTTTATGCTTATAAAATTTAACTGATCCTTGCATGCTGGCTGGGGAATTCTGGGAGTTGAAGTCCATAATCTTAAAGCTTCCAGTTTGGAAAAGTGCACTACAGGATGAAGGTCTTCTATCATGCTGGTCCAGTGCAGGTTGATAGATAGATGCTTTTCAACTTCTCAGTCTAAAGCTGAGAGAGGATAACTGACCCAAAGTCATCCATCAAGGCTCTGAGTCTAAGAAGTATAAGCACATTCTCCCAACTACCAGTCTAGTACCTTAACCAATATACCAAACTGGCTCAAAGAGACAGGGCTATAAATCATTTCTAATTTCTGGGAGAATGGTTGACCTCCAGGCAATGTCCTTTATTGTTTATGACTCAGACACAGTCTAATAACAAATTAATTCAAGCTCTAATTATTTTTCTCAGACATTTATTATCTGCATCTCATTATTCTGTTCTCATAGGTTTAGGACTACATTGTTTAGCTTTCCAAGCCATGTCAAGCCTATAACACCCAGCGATCAAGAATAGAAATAACACTTCAGACTTGGGTATTACTCTGAGAAATTTACATCCAGGTATGGGATTATAATCAGTGGTGGGATTCAGTCGGTTCGCACCACTTCAGTAGAATCAGTAGCTAATTTTTTGTTGCCCAGGCCCAGAATGGACTTCTGGAAGCGGCATCCACACAGAGAACTGGTTGTTCACATATTTGAATCCCACCACTGATTATAATGTTGAAATTCATTGTTGGAATGTATTTTTATGCAACAACTACAGTTGTACTTAGCCAGTAGATGGCAATGTTTACAAGTTTGAATCTATGGTATGGTATACTCTATTGCAGACATGTCAAATACAAGGCCCCGGGGCCGGATGCGGCTCGCGAAGTGGTTTCATATGGCCCACGAAGCCATCCTGGAAACAGTGAGGGAACGGCCCCCGTTGCCTTGGCCCTGGCCCAGGCCAGCCAGGAGCCAATGTACAATTTTGTGGTAGCCATCTATGCTGAAATGCATTCAGTCTTAGCTCCACAAGGATGTCTGGAAACAGCGAGGAACCAGCCCCTGCCACGTTGGCCCCACCCCCTGGGTGCATGCTGGGGAGGTGTCACCCTTTATGAGGAATGAAGAAATGCACCATCGCCTGGAAGTGGCCAGCAAATGGCCCTCGCCTACTTCACATATCCGGCTTGATGGGCTCTGCCCTGGTCTCACCCCTTTCTGCCAGAGACCCTCAGATCTGTCCCACTCCTGCCCAGGCCCCCACAGGCACTCTTGAGGTGAATGATGTAGAGTTGGCCACGCCCACCCAGTAGGCCACACCCACTCCACCCACACCCACCCAGTAGGCCGCACCCACCCAGCCCCCCAAGGGCAACCGCAATGCTGATGTGGCCCTCAATGAAATTGAGTTTGACACCCCTGCTCTATGGCTATGCTCTTTTGTTCCAAGTTGAATTTCCTGTTTCTTGTTTTAGTTATATAGTTGAGCAGTAAAGCACATGGTGACTGTACTGTTTGTTTGCTCTGGTGTGGTGCTTTATGAATATCTAACATACAGACATAAGAAAATGTCCTTAAATTTAGCAATTATTTTCACAATAATGAGCCATCTATTTAAAAGATTGTATGCACTGAGCTGGAGCAAGGAGCATATTTAATTCTGCCTGAACTCAATGAAAATTCCTAAATCCTTCCAAATTATAAATAACCCTGCTGAGTCATAACCAAAATCTTTTCCAGGTGGCCTCAGGCCATGGATTAGCTGCATAGAATTAGCTAACAAAAGACAGCATTAGTCTTAGTAAAGAATAATGTAAAGAAAATAATGCTCTCAGATGGCTTCTTCATTTGTTGGGCATCCACTTGCATTGGCATCTGCTTGATAACTTTAAAAAATATAAAGGTTCTCTCATGCAGGATAAGAAAAGGAAAAACAATATAAGCAGTTAGAAATAATTGTGTTAATGTTATCAGTGTTGTTGGAGAAGAAAAGGAAAGGAAAAAATATAGTGTTTTAACCATAAGAAGAAGGAAGAAGAAAGGCTGGAGGATAATATGACCTCTCCTTTCCTCTCTATTTTGCAGGTCAAAGTAGTTATGCAGAATTTCTAAGCCATCAAAAAACAAAAAAGCAGAAAGAGCCCTCTTGAGAGGCCAGGAAATAAAACAGGATATAGAATTTGGTTTATAGGTATCACATCTGCCAAGAAAATTTATGTTTCAAGACACTTTATGTGTCAATATTTCCTTGAATATGCACTGAAAGACTGATTGATAAGGATTTAGCCAGGATTTTATTACTGTTTTGATACAGCTGTACTAGAAATGCTCTTATAAGAAAAGCATCTTACTTTCCTGGATGGGAACCTGCTGTTTATTAACTAGATCAAACAAAGGAAATGCTAATCTGTATGTGAGTGTTTGACTGAGGTCCTATCTATCTATTCTCTGTAATTTAAAACAAGACCCATAGGGATAATTCCATTTAACAAGCTGGTTTACGCAAAGGAATGTTCCATAAGACAAAACGGTTGCACTGGAGTAAAGATACAATTTAGATATCTGGCAGAAGATCACTATTTTATTAAAAAATAAAATAAAGGAGGGCATCTTTAGTATTTAGTCATGAAACTAAATACTACATGGGGTTGCTGAAAGATTGGACTAGGAATCATTTATGATGCTTTGAAAAACCATTTACAGCAACTTGGAAAGATGGGATATAACAGGTAATCCTCAATTTACAACTATAATTGGGCCCATAATCTTGGTTGCTAAACAATATAGCCATTAAACAAGATGTCATGTGATCACTTTGTTTAGTGACTGCAATCACAGCACTTCTGGCTGCCATTGTTAAGTGAGAATTGTGGGACATTAAGAGGAATAGAGTCCCAGATAAGGCACAGGGGAGTGCCTTGGAGAGATGTGGGAGGCTTGACTGGCTATGTACAAGTTGCGGATATGTGCAGTGTGTTGCAAAACCACAGCCACTCCTTGTAGCCTCAGCTGCTCCAGTCAGTCCAACAGTGTAATGCAAAGCTGCCCATCCAGGAAAGTCTCAGCCACCCACCTAGCCCAACAGCAATTAGGCAGGGGTGATGCAATTCTCCCCACCTGCTTATCTCTCCCCTAATCAATGCCCTTTTAGCCACCTTGCACAGCACCTACCACTGCTCTCAGGCCTAATTCAGCCTGGGGAATGAAGCTTCTGAAGCATGACATGATTTGCAGAAGGAGTGGGGTGAGCAGCTTGGAGAGTGGCATGAGGCAGTCTCAGAAAGATAGCCTGGAGTGGCCAGCTGCCGCCTCGCATAAACCAGTCATGCCTCTCAGCAGCAAGAAAAAAATGGTAATGGTAAGGGAGGCATGGCAGGGGCTGTGAAACACAGATGGTGGGTTCAATTGGGGTTTTGCAGCACTGGCATAGCTGGTCATGGTGTGGGGCTTAAGATGGCATTTCTCAGTGGCAGAGCAGCACTGGGGTTGTAGTGAAAGCCTGGGGCCATTGGCAATGGTTGTAAATACTAAATACTAGTATTTATAAATTCAGTTTTCACTGCTGGATTGTAATTTCGAACAGTCTCTTAACAAATTGCCATAAGTCAAGGTCTACCTGCAAGTGTAAAGAGTAGATATTCCCAAGACTAGAATAATGCTTGGTTTCACTGGCATTGTGAAAATCATCCAACCCCCCCCCCCAAAAAAGAGGTATTTACTATAAATGACCAACCATCAGCTGCATTACCTAAATGGATTAGAAGGCATAGGAGATTGTGGCCTCCATTTGATAATGTTGCTGCTTAAATTGGTCTAGTTTAAAACATAAATGCCATAGTATCTTGCTACTTAGCATCTGTGTCTAATAAGAATTGAAATCCAAAACATCTGAAGAGCAGCAGGCTTTCTTTCATGGCTACGTATGAATAATAATTTATCAGATTTAATTCACTTGCAGATAGCCATATAGCCTCCGTTTGTGGATAAAACTGAATTAAAAGCAAGAAATAACAACCTTACGGACAGCTGGTTCAGTATCAGTTGGACATTTAAAAGAAAATAGAAATGAAAATAATAATCCTTTTAAATATGTGCCTTTCACCCGACTTGTCAGGAGATACATGATAAAAAGTGACTGATAGTAACTTTACTGATGTACCAAGCATGACATGTGGCACAAGAAATACAAAGACAGAAATGATGAGAAATGTGCAGACAGATGCTTTTGGCAGCAATGTTTTCAGAATAGCATTTCATTCTTGACAGGCCTGTATCTCTTTTTAACGAATGGCAATATTTGTGTCCACAACTTCCCGATTTGCATCCTTAATTCAGGGTTTTTTTTGGGGGGGGGTTTGAATATCCAGAGTAATAAATAAATAGCTAACCTGCCTTTACAGGTAATCCTTTGCTTATGGCCGCAATTGGGACCAGAATTTCCATTGTTAAGTAGTCATTAAAAGAGTCACCCTTGATTTTATTACCTTTTTTTGCTGTGATTGTTAAATGAATCATGTTGGTCTTTAAGTGAATTCAGTTTCCCCCATTGATTTTGCTTGGCAAAAGCCTCCTGGGAAGTTTGCAAATGGTGATCATGTGACCCTGGGATGCTACAACTGTTGTAAA